AATCAGGTGCAAGTTGGTTCCCCAAAATGACGATTTTGAAAGTTGGTTCCCCAAAATGAAAATTAGGTGAAAGTAGGTTCCATTTTGTTGCAATTTATATATATATATATGTATATATGTATGTATTTAAAATAAATGGTCGTTATCATTGTTTTTTTAGCCGGATGAGCACGTGTTAAGCAAATAGATTAAATTATATGCATGGTTAGATTAAGCCAAAAAGAGCTTAATAGAAAACAATAAAAGCCTTGTAATCCATATTTAAATAAAGTTCATTGCATTTAGCCTCCTCCTTTAAAACCTTTTCTGAATTCAAGCTTTTCGGCTATTAAAAGATTCAGTGATGGCGAAGAACAAGATATAAAAGAGGAAGGATGGTTTGTTTAATCATCAACCAAAAAATCACCATAAAACCCATCCATTAACCAACTATAAATTTGCAGCAAGTCCTCACAAAAATTCGACCACCTGATTTCATATTTCTTCAAGAAAATTAATGGCATTCAAGACGACTTACATGATCCAGAACTCCGACGATGGCCGAAGAGAACTCACGGTTAAGGAGTTCAAAAGATGGTTGATGAAGTTTGACAGTGATAAAGATGGCCGGATCAGCAGAAATGAGCTCCGGCAGGTTGTTAGGGCTACCGGAGGTTGGTTTTCCGGCTGGAAAGGCAATGCCGGAATCAAGTCTGCTGACAAGAACAGAAACGGTTTCGTTGATGGCTGTGAGATCGAAAATCTAGTCCAGTTTGCACAGAAGGAATTGGGTGTTAGAATCATACCATACTAATTTAGAACAGATCAATGCATTTCTAAAAACCCTCTCTTTATTTCTATGTAATTAACACGAGTTCTGAAGCATATACTCGATCTGTAATTAGAATTTAAATGAATTGAAGTATGGCTACATGAAGAAGAACGTTGGATAGAGTTCTTCTGAGTGGTGACTATTTTAGGTAACGTTCAACGTGTCGATAGAGTTGTTCTAACTATTTCGGGTAAGGTTCAGTGTGCTGCTACTTGAACGATTCTATTTTTGTACGATTCTACTGAAGCAGTAAACAAAAGTTCGTAATTACATTCTCGTGGACACCTTCAGTCACTCGATAGTTGGAGGCGGAAGTTTCCAGAAGTTCCATGAGTTATAATCCTCCTGCTAATAAACACGACGACAGATAACACATTTAGTTCTTCGTATTTCATACCTGTAAATCTTGAAACTACTAATGACATGGATACAGAGTTGTCAAGTTATATTGTCACATAAGCAGCATAAAATTTTGAGAAATTGTGAAAAATCAAACCTCCTCGTGCACGGATATAGGAGGGAAAATTCCGTTGACGATAGCATGGAGTGAAGCATATGATTTTGAGTCGATGCAGCGGTTCACAACAACCTCTCCCTGTAAAACCCGAGACACAAAGACAAAATTACGTATGATCATCGTGATTGACCTTAAAAACGTTACAAAATGGTTCGAGGTTTATAAGCACCTTAGGATTGATGATAAAGATTTTTCCCTTCGATATTCCGACCTTGAGGTAACTAAATTCATCAGTGTCTCTATTTCCGAAACCAGCATAGAACGGATTCCTGTCGGATGGAAAACATGCCTTGATATCCTGGGGATCCGAAAGAAATGCCGATTGTTTCAAGCCTCGATATTCAATATAAAATGATCATCAAGAAGAAAATCGTACTCCTACGTCTCAAGAAAATTACAGATTTCCCCCTTTCGGAATGTCCCATGAACTTGGGAATTATTTATTTGTCTATTAACATCACAAATAATTGATTTTGGTTCACGAGCTTCCGCTATTTTCTCTATATCGGAGGGAATTTTAGATATTTGACAAATAGTCGAACTATTTCCTTAGACCATGTATTAGCAATCACAACTTTCATGGGATGGAATAGTCGGTAACTAACTACGAACTAACCTCCAAGCAAGCAATTTTGAATTCATGTGGAGCTCTTCTTATAACTGCAAAAGGGTAGTAAAGTAATTTCAGAGACCATTCTAAAAAGAACCATCGGTAGCTATATCTAAATGCCATTGTTCATTCAATCATTCTACTTGACGTTCCATTCACTTTCCGTGTGGTGGTCACATTCCCGGCCAAATTTTGGTATTTTTTGAAGCGTAAGGACTCTGGTTTCAATTTGACACTGACCCATCATAGCGGAGTTTCAAAAACCCGTCCAATGACCATATGACATAATACAATATATATTAAACTGTTACCTTCACGAAAAAGAGAAGGAAAAAGTCCATCAGGAGAAATAACAACAGGCCCATCCGGCAAAGCCTCTCCATCCTGCAAATTAATTTATGATCGGGTTTTTAAGGACGACAACAAACTAAACATAAACAATGTGCTCATTGGCTTTGGCAAGAAATGACCAACAAAAGTGTCGCCTTTCAGGCAAAAAGACGGAGAGTAAAAGTTTTCAAAGTACCTGCTTAAGGTTGAACAGGAACTGTCTTGTGATGGAGGCCTGAGAAATTGCCCGAGCACTTAGATAAAGCATTTGATATCCATTTTCCTATAACATACAAACAAGAAGACGGTTCATATACCTCTAAATGCATACTAGCTTACAAACCAAACAAATCCAATGGGACCCACATGGAGTAGGGTCTGAGACGGGTACGCAAACCTTACCTCTACCCTGGGGTCATTTGATTAAATGACCTTCTAACGGGTTTTTGTTAAATCCATGATCTTCTGACAAGTTTGAGAATGTATTTGCTTAACAGAAGAATGCCACTACCATACATAAGAACGCCTAAAAACTTGTCAAAAGGTCATAGATTTAAAAAAATAAGTGTCAGGAGGTCATGTAGCTAAATAACCCCTCTACCCCAAGGCGTAGAGATTTTTGTTTCCATAAAGACCCCCGGCTTGAAAAAATGAAAGCATGATTGTCCGAGAAACATTTGGTTCCAAAAATGTTAAGTCAAATATTCCAATTCTAATGACAATGAGGGGGTAGCAAAGAGGCTATAATTGCAAGAATGAGAGACAACAGGCTAATAAACCTTAATGGCCGAAAAGAGATGTGTTACGCCTATATGTGACCAATCTCTTCCAACCAAAGGCATGAATTGTCCAAGAACATCAGATCTGCAACACAAAGAACATCATAGAAGAGCAAATTTGTTAACATATTACTCGACATCGTTCTTTAGAGATTATTCGAGAGTTGTGTAGCATAAGTATGTGATTTAAAGGTTTTCATATTTCCTATAAACCCAAGAACTTGGCACAAGAACCCATTCATCTAGGCTTAATGATTAAGCAAGTAATTTTATTGTTTCCATGATGAAGTAAATAAGGATTTGGAGGGGTTGATAGTCATGCTTGATTTGATTGATAGTATTCTAGAATTAGATTAGGCATCACTGGAAGACAAGACTGCCTCTCAAAAGTAGGCAATTTTGTAAACTTCTTTGCTATTTTATCAACAAAACCGTTTCAATTATATGATTTTTCCTTATCTGAATCACAAAAACATTTAATAGCTTAAGTTGTAGTTTGTGAAAACTCGATCCGCTCACCAATGGAGCCTGCTGAAACTGCACTTACATGCAAGCTTTGAGCAGAAATTGACAACTTATTTACCGCAACAGCAACGTCATGTCTGCTAAGTGTGAGATATTGCAAAGCATTCCAATTACAGGGTGTAAAGATCTCAAAGGGGTTGTTGTCATGAAGATGAAGACTATTACTCCGGTTGACTGGCGTGGACACGGACTTGCATTCAGAGCATGTTGGTTCTCTTGATCACATCTATTGTATACTTGGCTTATGACAAGTGAAGTCCACCATGTCCCTTAATTGTCTAAAAGCCAAGAAAATAAGTGACCGAGCGAAGTTTTTAAGAGGAACTGATTGTTGAGAAGATGTTCGAAATTTGTCAAACCAAGTACGGGAGATTGCTTGAGGAATGAAGACGTAGAGAGCATGCTTGAGTTTACACACAGCTGTAAAATTTTGCTTATAGATAACCATTGGGCTGTTCCATGAAGACTCGTTTGTCAAGTGGACCATCGAAAGGCATTGTTTACATCAATTTGTTGCACATCCAGTGAAAATGTGACAGCAAAAGTAACGATAATGTGAATGGTTGTTGGTTTAATGATCGGATTGAAAGTCTCGAAGAAATCAATACCTAGTTGTGTTAGAAATCGAGGGTTCCTTGATCAAAATAGACCGGAAAAATCGATTAGAACACGTATATGTCCATTTTCCAAATACACTAATTTGACCCTTTATTCCCTTGGGTATCACAAATTGAGTATTGGGATAATCCATTGATCACTCGAATTTGATTATTTGAAGGCAATAATAATCGAGTTACGTGTACACTCAGATTCAATGTTCTACACATTTATATGAGAGATCGACAGTGACAAGTTAGTTAGGCTGTTTATTGATAATTGCACAGCAGTTAGTAACCGCTTGTGGATAAGATCAAGCACGGATCAGAAAGCAAGTCAGAGAAAGAAAGCACTGACAGGGAAAATAATATATATAATATATATATTTGTGATTGTGTGAGGGGGGAAAAAGCACTCAGAAAAAGCATTGTGCATGTTTGACTTTAGGCTTCACATTTTTTAGTTTTTATTAAACAATATAAGGAAAGAACCAGTTGGCAAAAGAGGCGACCGCCTCAATACCGCCGACCGTCTCACCGCCTTTGCCCACGCCTCTAACGACCAAGGCGTATGACACAGTGAATCCTTTAGAGGCCCCACGACATATGCTTTTTTGGACAGCGTGCACCTCCCACGCTTTTTTAAACTATGTACATGACAAGCATCACAAAAGAAACATTCTCATTACTCAACATGTGTTCCATTACAAAAGGATTTAAATGACCAAGCCCCATATGCCATAGAGCAGATTTTGAAATAGAAACACTTTTAGCAAAACAAAGATTGAAAAGGGAAGCTTGAAATGGTTAATGAGTAGATGTAGGGGGAACCGTCTTGGGAACTTGATTTAGCTGAATTTGATAAAGAGCCTCACTTGGCTTCCCGGAGTACCTCCTTCAAATTAGATCCTTCACTATGCAACAGTCATTGGTGAACTCCACAAATATAGGATTGTCTTCTGTTAGTTGGGGAATAGATAACAATTTTTTTGGTAATCGAGGTTACACAATATATTTTAGAAGCATAGTAGAATGAGTGAAAAAGCTATATCTCGAGTGTGTGATGCGGACAGATTACCTAGAACAATTTGGTTTTACCTTTGTAATCTGTTTTGTAGTTGATATTGGAAGAATCTGTTGTTATGTGAATCATGGCTATGCTATCCAGATACCAAGCACCGTCCAGTTGATTATCGTGAGCTGAAGTAAAATAGCAGTGTATTGCATGTTGTGTGATATTGGCCAGAGGAAGGAGTAAAAAGATAGGTATTGGTAGACTTGTTGCATGGAGATCCTTAAAATTTGAGATCAAAATGATGGAAACCCTTGGAGGCAAAGTGTCCTACTCCACCACAGAGTTGACACAACGGTAAATTTCCTCGACAACCCCTTCCTCGGTCATGGTCAGAGGAGTATCCATGGTTGATGGTTGGAGCAGATGAAGAATCATGGAGACCAAGACTACGGTGCATTTGAGTGGAAAGATGGAACACTTGGCATCATGAGATCACCAGGGATGGGAAGCTTGAGATGCTCAAGATGCATCTCCTGGCTTCAAAGCATGTACGCCACCTTGAAGAGTGAGTTGATCATGGCGAGAAGTAAGATTGACGACAATTGAGTCATAATCATGGCCAAGACCCCTAAGAATGTAAAGTATAAGTTTTAATCAGAGATTATCTCTGGCATGCAAAAGTGAAATTTTCAGACAGAGCCTGTGGGGCTGTTTACTAAACACTTGCTGCCTCTTACCTGATAACTAAGCAGTTATTGCCTCTTACTGAGTAAAAGACGCTTACCTGGTCAAAGATGATGGTCTTTACCAACAACCTTCCCGTGCATAAGTGAGGCTGGTGAATCTTACCCAGTTAGCGCTTACCAGGTGAAAGACAGTTATACGATGTTATTTTGATGACCGAGAATCTTACTCGGTAAGGCAGGTGAGGGTGGTGCCTCTTACCCGGTAAGCACATACCTGGTTTGTGTTGGTAAACAGACCCGTCAACATGTAATCAAGAATCGAGAGATTCCCTTTCCTTAGTGACTGAAGTTGAAAACAGAGTTGTAGAGTTTGAGCTTTGGAGTTTGTGGTGAACAAATTTTCAAGAGTATTACAGACTTGCTGAGAAGTGGCACAGCAAACAACATGACCAAGAATTGATTCTGAAATCTTGTTGAGTAACCAACTCATGCTGGCTTGATCTATGTGCACCCAACGGTTGAAACCAAGATTGATTTGATGAGATTCACCAGGAATAAGACTATCGAGTATTGTGGTCAACGAACTGAGGGTAAAACCTTTGTTCTAGGAATAAATCCCTCAAGGTCATGAGCACACAAGTCAAGAATGACTTGAGACCGCCAGAATGAGTAATTTGTGTGATCCAATTCTAGGATTAGAGGAGTAAGACTTTACACAACCTTTTCTATATTAAAATGTTTCCCTTTATTCTAAGCATTTGTCATCCTGAAGGAGGAATCTAGAACAAGCTACAATATGGAGCTACCATATGCCTTCGTATAAGCTAAGTTTCCCTTTTCGAGTTAAGCAGACACAAACCATCACCTCCAACCCTCCCCCCCCCCCCCCCCCCNCAATGGATGATCAAGTGTGGCTCATAGCTTTCAATTGGTTTAATATAATAACATTTAGTTCAGATTTCTATATAAGATGTAGAGTTTGTATCTTTGTTACCTAATAATGGTGTTTTAGTTTACTTTCACCTTTTCTGTTCACCAAGTGTAGTTGTAGACTTGGAGCTCTTCATTCTCATTAAGAGAAACTCGGTTTTCTCGGTCAAAATCTTAGAAAGTTTTGTTCAATTTTTAGTATCCTCTCCTCCCTTCAAGACTGTTTCCCTGGACAACTAAGCAGCTTTTCCCGAAGTGTTTATACCATTTACATGCTCCCGAATATCAATGCATAAGCCATAAGAAGTACTCCTTCCATCCCAAAATAAATGTCCATGACGAAAAAGGCACACAGTTGTAGAAATGTGTAATTAGTACACATTTTAATTAACTAAATGACAATTTTACCCTCAATAATAGAGGGAGTAACGAATTTCTCCATCTCATATCTAATAACTAAGATTAGAATTAAGAAAGTAAGCAAACTTTTGAAAGTAGACAGTTATTTCGGGATGGAGGGAGCATTATTCATCAAGTAAACATAAACTAAAGAATCTACATTCATCCTGCTTTAATCTTCATAAAAGAACTTACTTGGTAATTGTTCCATCAACATCTGAGATGACAATGCGAGTATCCCACCCCCACAAATAAATTCTGGCATCCACCTGAGATGCATCATGTATGTATGTCGAGTAAGCTACATAATATAACAGACACAAACCATAAACAAACATACATTGCACGATGGCACAATGACGAATGAGAGAAACTGCACATGACCTTTTGAGCCCCTAGAACCGATGTTGAAAACGTGAAGGTCACTGTATTTTTCCCTTCTGCGAGATTCAACGAAGCTAGTTGCTCGGGTGTTGGAGCAAGTGCCCTTGTATGCATCTTATTTGATTTTGGTGAAGATGCTTCTTTTTCTCCATCCGTCTCCACTACAGTTTCAACATCAGAATCCTTTTTACTGTTTTGTTCTTTCTGAGAAGTGTTTTTACTTCCCAATCTTCTAAATGGCCACAAATTCCAGCTTCCACCGGCACCATCAACAATACCGGAAGGACCATCTACAAAAAGAATTTCTCAAGACATCAGCATAATCTGATGCTTCCCACCATTCGAAAGAAATTCCCATAGTTGACCTTGAGATCAACTAGTTATATCTATAACCAATATGAATGTTCAAATCTTGATGACAACATTAATATTTATAAATAGTATAATATAACTACAAAAACTGTTGGTGTTCAATTTGTAACAAAATCCATTTTGAAATAGAAAATTAGCCCATTTGCATTATTTGCTTGATCTACAAATAGAATGCAAGAATTTTTCTTACCGCTTGCAATGCCACCATCTTTAAGATCCTTTGACAAGGTATCTGCAATCTGTGAATCAGATAAACGGAGTTCTTTCTCTGAGTTTGATTTTTTGATATCCTCCCTGATCAAATCCCAGTTTGAGGATCTAAATTTGGCAGCAGGAGAGTAGAACTGGGAATCCTCGTTAAGTGAATTGGGATCATCAAACGGAGACCACATGTTGGGCAATGATTTTGCCTGCCGACCAACACCCATTTCTGCAACTTCACAATTCCTAGGAATATCAACATGACTTGGAGACCTTCTAATATATCCCTTATGCCCTTCAATGTCACCTTTGAAACATTCTTGACGGATTCTGACTGGAAGTGGAGGTGGATATGGACCACGCTTCAGACTCATTGACTCACTGCATATCTCATCTACTTGTGAGGTAGATACGGACTGAGTTCCTTGCTCTGTGCTGTTGATGCTCGGTTTTGAATCATCAAGATCACCGTAGATCAACTGTTCTTCCACAAAACTTTCAGGTACTTGCTTGATCAAAAGAGAATCACCAGAAACATCTTGAAATTCACCATCTGACTCCAATGGCAGTCTGATTTCATTTGCTTCCTCCAATTGCATTGTGGGCTTATCATCTTTGTTTAGACAAACAGGCACTGCAATAGAACTGCATGAAACAACTTCTATGGATGCCTCTCCTTGTTCAGTAGCTGCAACTTCTGTACAGATTTTCTCTGCGATTTTTAATGGCTCTTCAGCTGTTATTATTCCCACTTCTGCCTCATTATGATCATCCAACTGAGTTCTCGAACTCTCTTCCTTGGAAACACAATTTTCCACACAACTGCTGTGTTCTTCATCAACCTCCTTGTTAACAACATCTGCTACACAAGTTTCATGAACCTCCATTACAGGCATCTCATTATCACCCCCGGACTTATTTACAAAGTGCTGTTCATGCAAAACAAAACTTGCGTCCAATCTTCCGCCAATACTTTCACCATTATCCTTGATAGATTCTTTACAATCATTCGCAATATTTCTGGAGGAAAGATTGGTTGACCATTTCATCTCCAAGAGATCAGCTGCAATCTCAGCATGCTCCAATGATGCAATTCTATCAACATTTGAATCATTCTCTTCCTTTGACAAGCTATGCTCTTGCATAGATCTCCTCCCTAGAACAAACCCCAAAATCCTAGATCGTTTAGAGTTAGTCCTGGACAAAACCTTACCATTGGTCACATCACTAACTGAATCACACCGATCAAAATCATAATTCATACTCTTAGACTTGGGTGGGATCTTATCATGGGGTTTTCCATCTATCTCCTCATATGAAGAAGATTGTGAGGAAACTGCATCCACTACTTCTTCAGGATCCACCTCCCTGAGAAAGTAAGCTTCCCCTCTTGGATCCAAATACATATGGAAATCAGCATCAACCCCATTAACATTAATGTCAACAACTCTTTCTTTTGCCTTCAAAACCCCTTGAAATTTCCCAAACTTAATATACCAAGGGGATGATTTCAAGCTACCATCTGGTTGTTGTACCACAACAATGTCCACAGCCCCACCAAATGGATGAAAAGGGCCTGAGACAGTATAAACCCCTTGAGTGATATAGCTACCTAGCCTCCCTACAGCATACATCCTTCACCAAAATTAAGAGGTTGAAGGCTTACACATTACCAATTTATACAAAAAGGTAAATCTTGTAAGCAGTTGTCTCCAGTAAGCCCCAATCATGCAAATTCCCGAGACCAATAGGGGACACAACTGTATAATGAGATCAAATTTCGAAATACCCAATTGATATCCCACACGAAATGCGAAGCTGATTCTAAACTCTAGACGTTTCAACAAAAATTCAGAAAAGCGCCTCTAACGAACTTGTAATTACAATCAAAGATGGAAGCTTGACTACGAAAATTTTCTAAATTTAGATACAAGGAAACAACAGAAATGGATTATTTGAATAAATAAATAAAATAAAATAAAGAAGAAGAAGCAACATCAAATGGATTGAATTATGACACAGTTGGCAAATGAGGAAAAGGCATATTCTTTTCAGACGATTCGATTGTACCACAAACCCATGACGGATTGATGATGTTTTTCGGCACAGTCACAGAAAATGACAGACACCCCTTGATTCTTCTCTCATCTTCGTCTTAGATTCCAGAAATCGTTGAAACACATTTGAAATTATAAGGTAATATAAATGGGGAAAGAAGGGGGTAAGCCAAGACACTGGCCTGAAGGAAGAAACCCAGTTGGGTTCGTGTTAAAGAGATAGAGATTGAAGGCGTAAGCGTTATTTTTGCAATTCGGGTTCTCGTTCGATTCTCTTTTTCTTGAATATGTCGATAAATCGTAGGAAACAGAGCATATCGTAGTTAATGATGGAGGTTCGAGTTAGGTGTGGAGACGGGGGTGTTCCGACATAATGGTCAATTCCCATGTTTTTTACGTTTTTTAATTTTTTAATTTAGATGGGTTTGGGAAACGTAAAATTTATAAAATTTATGGGATGTTTCGGATTGCTTACAAAAATAACTTATTAGCTTATTCCGATGTGATACCGACAATAAACATTTTTAAGTGTTTGAATAAACAACTTATACCGGTATCAAACCGGTAATAAAGAGTTTTTGAAAAAGTTAAACCCTTTATAATAAGTCGATAAATGTTTTTATAAAAAAAACATAAGTTGTTTCAAATAGGCAATCTGTCACCCTAGAGGCCTAGAATAACAGGGGTGATCTCGTAATTCTTGGTTTATGAAGATGCATTGTTAGGTACTCCATTTTATTTTCCCATTAAGGCCGAACTTAAACATATGCTCGAGAGATAGCTGGTGTTTATCCTAATGATGACTATAGTTTGTAATTATTTTTAGTATTGGTTTATCTAACTAACACTGTTAAATTTTTTTCTGATAAATGATTATGAAATAAATTATGTGTCGAAGTTATTTTGTAATTTTAGGAAAAATTAAAGAGAGACCTTCCCTCCCCACCTTTGTTCTTTGTGGCAATAGCATCCTCTATCATGGTAACCTCTTCTTCTTTGTTGTAACAACATTAAACACCTCCTTTAGCAGCCACCATTATTCTTTCCCAGCTTTTTTCTCGAAACATTTTTGTTATGAAATTTGAGCCTAGATCTGAACAACTTCAAAATCCAAAACCCGTCCTCCAAATCATGGATTTTGAACCAAAACTATGAACGAACAATGAAAGTAACAATGTCAAAAAAAAATGAAGTACTTTTGGTTCTGAGAATTTGTTCAATCTACTTTCTACATGAGATACTTGTGATGTAAATCCAAGATATAAAATGAATCACTTATAGATGCATTTCATAGTCAAAATCACACGGGTTAGTGTTATAAATTGCACATAGTGACACAAGATGGTGCGTTAGGATGAGATTTCGAGCCTGCGCTCGAAGCTGAACCAAGAAGAGTTGGTGCACCGTAGCTCTAAGTGTAGATAAGATCACTCGATATGCTTGGTTCTCGATTCTTGTTGTATTCTGCATGAGGCCATAGTCAATGAAATACTTAAGTTGTTTACCACCGCCTACATATATGCATAAAAGAAACAAGTTTTTACATCCTCTCTCTCTTTCTCTCTTTGTCCCCCACACACATGGAGAAGGAGAAGGCGGGGTCATAAATGTGGAAATGGCAAATGGCAAATGGCAAATGGCAAATGGCAAATGGGAAAGGGGTTTCTTTTTTCTTTTTAACATCATAAGAGAAAACTAGAACATCTTCACATGAGAGTTAGAGATGGCCAAAAACGGTCTCGGTTCTTAATTTCCTTTTCATAATCGATCTTGGTCCCGTTCCGACCAAAAATTCATGGCCAGGTCTCCTTTAACCATAACCGGTCTAGGCCAGGGTTTTTTTTTCTCCAAAAAATAAGTTTTATATATAAAAAATCTTGGTTGATGATTTTTTTTGAACAATATTTTATTAAAATACACTTTAAAATTTCTAATTACATCATTCGAAATCAAATACACTTTAAATATTTTTTACAAAAAAATATGGTACATGTTTTTATAATCATGATTTTTAAATTTAGTATTAGAACACTTGACAGAATTGGAAAACTTAAGATAAACTTGAAGTTTTGGTAAAATAAACTTGAAAATCTTGTATAAATTTTTAAAAAAATGATAAATATAAGTTATAAAACTCAATTTTTTAAATCGAGTCTATGTATAATCAGTCCCGACCTCGTAACTATTCTCGGGCCGGACCTTGAATTTTCATAAAAAGCATAACCGGTCATGAACCATGGGGTAGGTCACGATCCTACACCGGTCCAGGCAGGCCAGACCCATTTTGACCATCTCTAGTGGGAGGTATTTATCAAAAAATTTGACAGGTCAATTAAAAGAACCAAAACCGAAAAGAAATGGAAATCACCAGTGTAACAAAATGAACCACATGGTTAAAAACCAAAAAATTTAACTTACCACGATTAATCATAAGTCAAACATCATGACTATCATAATAAGTGAAATTGAGTAAAAACAAATAAAAAACACGATCTTTAAAAAAATTAATGTTAGTGTTTGTTCGTTTAAAAAAAAGTAAGCTCGTGTTTGTTCATGTCCGTTCATCTAAAAGAAATGAACATAAACAAACGTAAACGAGCATTCTTAATCGAAAACAAGGTGAATCCATTTTGGTTAAAAAGTTAAACTAACATAAACGAACAAATAGTGCATTCATTTTCATGGGGTTCTCAAAAAAAGAACTTGGGCTCAGGCCACTAGTATCAAGCAAACGGGCTAGACTCGAGCCAACCAGCTCAAGCCGAAGTCAAGCGATGAAGCCATTTGTGACACCTCAATCTCCATACATTGCATATTACATAGAGTTCATTTATAGGATACATAGATTCCCACATAGGTCCAAAATTTCAAGAGTCTGTGCTACAGGTTTACGATACAAATTTCATAACTTAAAAATTCCAAAATACATGCATTTGTAAACTAGCATTGCTCTCCTCCAAAACACATCTAGATATGGTCTTCAACATTTATGCACATAAGGGAAGTAATCATATAATGCTTTTTCCCTTATCGATATTATAACTGGTATTACCTGCACACATATTTTTGAAAACACAAAATGAGGGTTAGACAAAAGTCTAGTGAGATTCCCTTTTTCATGCTATGCAGGGTGAGATCACCAAAAACATTTATCAAAGAATTTCTCAATCATAATAAAGAATAATAAAAGAATCGCATCATGTTTAAGTCCATCGGCCTCTGGTTCCAAACCATACTTAGAATATTTTTCAATAAGCATGACCAGAGCTCCTCTAGTCTTTCTACCAGAGCTTCTGGTTAGTCGACCAGAGCCTCTGATTCCTCAACCAGAGCTTCGGGTTGTACTTATGAAAGCCAACCAGAGCCCCTCTGGTTTGATTTATAGAAATTTCTAAGTATAAAGGCTCTTTTGAAATATCATTTTAAAATTATAAATATAGTACTAAGCTTGCTTCTAAAAGATATAAAGCTTATTTTCAAACTAATAATTTATAAAAGATTTTGCATCATTTTAAATCAATATCCAGAATCCTCTGGTTCTATTATGAGAGTCAATCAGAGCCCCTCTGGTTCCTTGCAAGGCACAACCAGAGCTCCTCTGTTCCTCATAATCAATGCTTTTACCCAAAGCATTTTTATTCACAACCAACAATCATGAACTATATTATCTCCAATCCCATAACATCATTACCATCATTTCTACTAAAGACAACATCTCTAAATCCTCAAATCACCAAGAAATGAGAACTTAAATCTGTTGGAACTTTAATAGATATCATGATAAGAGTTAGGCCGCGCAGACAACGACCAACCTTATATCCTCCCAATAATCCCCTTTTYATGATGTTTCACCCTTATATCCTCCCATTAATTCATATGAAGTAGTTCATCCAAAGACAGACCTCATTCATATATGTCAGAGTGAACCTGTTCATAATTCGCAAACCAAATCATGGTTTCAACATAGGTTTACACTCAAAAACCTTCTAATCTCAAGAACAACCTGTTCTCCCAAAACAGTTTAAAACTTTGTTTTTCTGTAAATTTCTTTCAAACTGTTTAAAAACTCAGATACTGTTTAATTCTTTCCAAAACAATCCCAAAAATAGATTCGAACAACAACTTCTCAAAGGCTGTTGACGAACACGACTTTGTTTCATATTTATCCAGAAATATATTCCAAAACAATAACATCATAAAAACTGTTAAAGATGATTTATTATCTTAACCTCAAAACCAATATCAAAACTCAACAGTTGATACACAAATATATGAGGAATTTAGTTTCAAAACCACTCACCTTATCAAACAGATTTCTTGATGATAATCACACAGCAAAAGCTTTATTCTAACATAGAATCTTCAAGTACTTTTGAAGCAATAATTCTTGAAGAACACCTTATCACACACAAAGGTTCTTTTCTAAACAGAATGACAGTGATATGGATAACCTTATCCAAACTTTTCTTTAAATATCCTCACCTAGGCAGTGAATGATTTTAATAATATAAAATTGGATATGACGGTGTGGATTTTATTATTTTAAAGACCTATTTGCTTCATTACTAAGGTACCACCTTCTTAATAAAATATTCATATTATCCAAACATGTATGCATTTATTTCATGTATCATGTATTGTTGCCATATTCACGCATACCATCTTATAATTTATCAATTAATCACGTAAAATTTACCTTGACCCAGGTTATCTGAAACCAGGTTATAACATTCTCTCCCCCTTAAAAGAATTTCGTCCCAGAATTCATTCAAATAACCATGGATATTTTTCTTTCATATCTAATTCTAATTTCCATGTTGCTTCTGAACCTTTGTGAAATCGCCACTGTACCCTTACTAGACTTATTTCCTTGTTTCTCAACACACGGGTTTTGTGGTCAGTTATAGCTTCTGGAGTTTCCACAAAATTCAGTTTTTCATCCAACTTAATCTCCGGAAGTGGTATTGCCAAACTAGGATCAGCAAGGCATTTCCTTAGGTTTGACACATGGAAAGTCTTGTGAATCAGACTAAGTTCCTCTGGTAATTCCAATTGATAAGCTACTGACCCAACTCGTTTACAGATTCTGAATGGACCAATATATCTTGGACTGAGTTTACCTTTCTTTCCAAACCTCATAACTCCTTTCCAGGGAGAAACTTTCAACATTACTAAATCATTCACGTAAAATTCAATTGATTTTCTGCGCTTATCTACATAACTTTTTTGACAATCTTGAGTTGTTTTAATTCTTTCCCGAATCTGATCAATCTTTTCAGAAGTTACTTGCACAATT